CCCCCCCCATTGTGACTTTTTTCCTTGCTGGGTCACTGAGGCTCTACTTGGACATAGGAATTTGTCATGTTTGCAGTGACCGCCGCTCCCCCCAAAGGAAGGCTGATTATTAAATATCAGTGTCCCCATCCTAGGAGCTGTTCATGTGCATGGACTTGCTTGCACTATGCTCTGAAAGCGCCAGCACCTTTTCACCAAAACCGACTCCCCAGCTTCACCTTTCCCTCTTCAGGAACTACTGAGAAGTAAATAAATCAATATAAACAAAACAATTAGTACTGTCACCCCCCCATTACAAAATATCCACACAAAATCTTGCCATAGCTACGGACAATGCACAGGCCAGTGAAAATCCTTTCAACATCAGTAATCACCTTCAGGCCCTAGCCCTGGGCGAGTGATCTGGCAGCTCTGTATTGTTATAGCAATATATTATATAGCACCTTGCTGCCCCAGTTCTGGACCAGAGATGCATTGTACCAAGTACTGTACAGACAAAGAACAAAGAGATAGGCTCTGCCCCAGAGAGCTGACAGCCTGATGATAATACCTAGCTCCCATATCCACTGCTTTCCATTAGTGAACTTCAAGCACTTCACAAGAGGCAGCATCATGACCCCCGTTTTACAAATGCAAAATACACTGTATAGGTAGGCATTAAGTAGGCTAACTGAGGCCCAAAGAAGATTAAGTGATTTGCCCAAGATGACATAGTAAGTATATGGCAGAGCCAAGAAGAGAACCTAGATGTCCTGGGACACAACCTGGTACATGGACTACAAAGCCCTATTTTCCTATTAGTCCCCATCCCCCAATCCTGGTATTCAGAAACAGCATTGAGCTTTCTGGCACCAGCTTCCTTCCATTACATAATATTAACCTGCAAGTCACCTGAATCCATCCAACAGCTCAGACACCTTTAGCTCAGCATGTCATATGATCACTTGTGAACCTTAGTTTCTAGTAAATTTCCACTGAAGTGATAGTTGCTTTTTAATTCAGGCTTTGTTCTGGAAAGCATAAGTCTGTTGGCCCCTGCTAGAGATCTTGTTCACCACGTGCTGCGAGCTGCTTTTCACTGAATGGTAGCAGGCATTTGGTTGGCAGGCTACATGTTTAGCCTTTTCCCTTCTAATAGTTATTTAAGATGTTAGAGAAGTGAGAAAATGAGAAGCTCCTCTCTGTTTGCCCCACACCATCATGCTGTTTGAGGAGTCAGTCATAATCACGCTGAAAATCATTACATGTAATCACTGGGATTGTGCCATGTCATTATGCAGGTGCTAATTTGCATGTGCAATCAGCAAGGGTGCATGCTGGTTAGACGCACAATTAAACCCTCATTGCCAGATCAAGACAATGTCTTGATCTCTTTGTACACCTCCTGCCTCCAGTGCTTTCAAAGGCTTTCAGTTCGGGCAAGGTTACCTTTAAAGTGTAAGATCCCTTCCAGCCCCTAACAACTATGAAAGCGCACTCGCCAGTGTGGGTTGCTATCTGGTCTCCTGAAGTTTCTGGCTGGCTGGAATTTGATGCCAGACCCACTGTGGGTGGTGTATGGAATGTGGGCGTTGCTGCTGCGATAGGGCTATTGGACATGCTGCAGCTGGCATGGAGCAGGAGAGCAGAATGCTGTACCCTCACCCTGTGCCATGCTGCCAAGCTTTGCAGGTGGTGGAACCGGTATAACGCCTTTCCTAGGATATATTGACAGTGGCAGGCAGACAGGCAGGCATGAAGCCCATGTTGAACCTCAAGGGTTCGGGTAAAAGTTCAGCTCAAAGGAAGGGCAGAGATCTGGTTCAAAGCCAGGTCAAACCAGCCCATCCACCCTAGAAGCAGACTCGGGGTTAGGGCTGGGGCTGTAGGCCAGCCAGACACCTGAGCATTTCACCTTTCCACTCTAACTGCCAAAGCCATGCTGTCTGCATTTCCAGTGTGGGCTGCACTTGCAGGCATTGCTAAGTGGCAGGAACTTGTTGGGTGGAAGGGAAATCCAGCTCTGTAACTAGATCCTAGAAGGAACTCCCTGGGCCTGCCCTGCCCAGCTGGGCTGATTAAAAGAAGGTCAGGGGGTGGCTTGCTTGGGGAAGGAGCTCTGGGCTGGTGCCTCTGAGCCAGTGGCTGAGGTGCCAGGGGAAAGCACACTGATCTTGAGCCTGCGAGCACAGCCCAGAAGCTGCCGGGGGGGGGGGAGAAATTTAGATGGAGCTGGAAATAGAATCAGCTCCCAGCTCTGGGATCTCGGTGTATGTAGGGGCCTGATTAAGTGATTACACTCCCCAAACACGGCTCAAGGGCAGCAGTGAGACAGACAATCAGTACAAGGGAAATGGCTATATCTACACAGCCAGACTACTCTCCACACCATGCAGACCTGCCTTCTCCTTCCGTCCCCTCCCCCGGTTCTCCCCCCTGCTGCTTTATTCCCTCACAGCCCTGCCAAAATCACAGTCTTCAGCTAGGGCCAATGTGGATGCCCCTCAGCTGGATGCAGTGACTGGTGTTAAGTAGTAAAAGGGAGATTTTTTCCCCTCCCCCATCTGGATGTTGCCTGCTGTCCACACCCATGCTTTCTGAATAGCAACGGGGGTCATCTGTACAATGAGGGACATTGCAGCAGTAGCAGGCTCACCCCACCTTCACCCTTCTGTTTAGGAGATGGCATTGTTCTTTCAGGCCCAGTCACTCATTAGCCTCTCTGATGTAAAAGCCAGCTATGGGCTCAGTGGGTTGGACACACCTAATCCTAATAAGTACTTGCCTTACCAGGTTGGTTACACATTACTGATACACCAGCCTATACCTGGGGCCAGACACAGGAATGGGCAAACCAGGTAGCCACTCAGACAGAAAGAGGGCCCAATTTTTATTTTTTTTAAAAATTATAATCCTCATTATCTCTGGTAAAGAGGGGCCCCGATACTAAAAAGTTTGCCTGGGTCTGCCAAGAGCCTAGTTGCATGTACTGGATCTCCTAGCACCCCGAGCTGGAAAAGGTTCAAAATGGATGGTCTTGAAAAGAAAGGCTTACTCATCCATCCCCACTCCACCCAGAGTCACCTACTCCCCTTACACCAGTCACTTCTCAGTTCTCCATTATATCTTCCCCAGACCTTACTCCTGTGAAATGTCAGAAGCATCTCAACCCAGGAATGAGCTGGATGACAGGCTCCCTAGGAGCAGGAACCTGCCTCAATTTCCACCTGCCATGGGGAACCTGTTGCAGAGTGTTTTGTCTGTTTAAGCAGGTTCCTCGTAACCAGGTTTGCTCCACTTTCAGTTCTCCAACTGTCACCTTTCTTGCTCCCGCACGTAGTGGGCCTGAACCACACAGGAGCAAGACCCACCCTCAGTCTCCTTTGATTCCATTCTCGGTTGTGCACATGGGGATAGATTATAACACTGAGGGGGTGCATATGCTACACCCGCTACCCACAATCATATACCAGTACCAACAGTGGCAGTTTCCTTCTTCTCCAGATAGCTCTGGCATTTTGCTTCCATTACAGCTCATCACCTCTTCCCTCTCTCAGTAATGGCTCTTCATTGCCTCCCCCAATCAACACACCTCATCTGTTGCTCCCACTATCCCAGAACCACTGCCAAGCCAGTGCCGGGGCTCAGCTGAGATACTGCCATGAGAAATGCCAACTAGGGCAAGAGTGGAATTATCAGACTCTTTCTTGTCATGGTCCCTTTTCATCACTAGCCCTTTCCCAAATCACACTAACAGCATCTCAATCAGTGGAGCTCCAGTAGGAGATTAAGTGGTGGAGCTGGCTCACATCCAAGTGGCTTCTGCAAAGGCCTAGTACAGTATACTGTAATTGGTCTCTTCCTTCCCCGACTAGGCTGTGCCCCGCTACCACCACAGGAAAAGAAGAGCAGATCCTTTTCCAAAGTTCCATCAACACCTCTTATCGTGACAGACAGCAGGGGTCACCGATGAGCTTTCTTTTCAGGCTGGGAAATTGGCCCAGGCGCTGGGTAGCATTCCTAATCCGCTCCAGCCAAGGGCCTAGCTCTGAAAGATGCTGAGTCCCTTTCACTCCCACTTAAGATGATGGCATTCACCACCTTGCACGTTCAGACCCCCAGAGAGCAGGACACCGTCACAGCAGCATGTGCCCTGGTCCCTCAGCTTCTGCACTCAAAATGAGGCTGAAGTTGGTTCCTTATTCCCAGTTCCTTTTTCAAAGCTGATCTTCACACAATTAAAAAGTTGTTAGTAACGAATTAAGACACCTTAGAGAGTTAGAATTTCATCAAAAATGTATATTTACTAACAAAAACGTACAATAATATCATGTATCAAGTTGAAAGAGGAACTGGGAACCAGAAACAAAGAACCAACTTCAGCTTCACACACTCCAAGTAGGCTGCGTTTTCTTTTGCAGTTTAGCCCTGCTGTTCGCTCCTATGTCACATTCTCCTCCTTCCCCACAGAGGAAGCTACAGATGCCCTTGAGCCAGCAGGGCACAGGAGCAGAAAGGCTGCTGGCGCAATTGACAGAGAAGAGACAGCAAGCAGCACCCCATGAGGGGACTACACAGCAACTTTCAGCTGGTGGCATAGGAAGAATGAAGCCAGATTAAGAACAAGCACATCAGATGCCCAGGAAAGGGCCCCAGCCCAGGCCACACAGAGCAGACGTAACCAGGGAGGCCCGCACAGGTAACACCACCACGAAGGTGACAGGAGCCGCGTGCCCAGCCACACGTACGCATGCAAGTACCCGGGGAATACAGGAGTCAGTGCTGTGCAAGGAAGGGACACACACTCAGGTGCAAGACCCTCATCTCCAACTCCCGCCCAGTCCGTGCCCCCGGCTCCAAGCCAGGATTCCCGACAGGAGCCTGCGGCCCCAAGCCCCGGCTCCACCCGCAGCTGCCCCCGCCGGGCGGGGGTGAGCAGCAGCAGGGGCAGCTCGGCTCAGCACTGCCAGGCAGGACCGGGCCGGGGGATTCCGGGCACAGCACCTGCGAGCCCGACCTACCTCCGCACTGACCTCGCCGCCCGCCGCCGCGCCGGCCCCC